TGAGTTTTGAAGTTTCTCCTCCTCTGGTTGAGCTCCCTCCGTAAGCTCCTCTTCTTCTTCCTCCTCGCCAATGTAGTTCATAATGTTTGGCACTTGTTTCAATTGATTCTCCAAGTTCAGTTCTTTGAGCATTGTTTCTTGCGGGTACTGCGACATATCTTGTTGCATTTTTGTCACATTGATAGTGAGAGCTCGGATCATGTCTTCAGTGGACATGCTGGAATAAGAACTTGAGTATGGATTATATGTGTTGGAGAATGAATCATACCTCTCTTGGAAAACAACATCATCACTCTGTTCAAAGTATTCTTCTTGACGCTTGGGGCAAAAATCCGTAAGATGCCTTTGTGACATGCAAATGTTGCAGGCCTTGGTATCTTGAACGTTTGAGCATAAGAGAAATTCCTTTACTAAAAATGTTAAGCTAGAAATTTGACTCTCTAGCGATGATGTGTTGGTATCCATTTACTCATATAAGCTCAGAAAATAGAAGAGCAAGATTTTTTTTAAAATTATTTTTGTTTTTTATTGTTATGAGATAAAATAAAAAGAAAAATAATTGCCTCTCCCCGGCAACGGCGCCAAATTTGACGAGCACTTTGTCACGGTGCGTCAAAATAATTTTCAATACTAACACTTATACGTAGTATAGCGTAGTAGAGTTCGTATCCACAGGGAAAGGAATAATTCTCTTTTTATGATACTTAGTGAATAAAAGGGGGGATTTGGATTGAGTGATTTAATTTAATTAAGAACTAAGATGAACAACCTATTTGTGTTTAATTCAAAGATAAAAAGGACTTGGCATTGCTACTTTCCACTTGTTGATATATTTTAGTCGATCATTGTTATATCTATAACTTATTCCCTCTCGAATACTCAATCGGGGAGTATATCCACTTCATCGAGGGTAGTTATTAACAACGACCGTTCATTAATAACCCTTACTATTAATCAAATATAGAACAACGCCTTATACCGATTTAATAGCAGCATTTAATCTTTCTAACTCCTTGATGAAATCAATTGAGATTGATAACCTCAACACAAGCGGTTTCGGTTTAACCAACAAAATTAATCCCTCTTCAGTTTATTAACCACGACCGTGCATTAATAAACCGAAGTTACTTACTTGTGAAACCATCAACGATTAACCATCGGTTCGTTGATCGTTTCTAGTAATAACTAATATATGAAACAAAACTAGTTGATCCTTTAAGTAATGTTCCAAATATTAATATGAAATATGAGTAGGGATTAATTAATATTCAAGGAAGAATATTATTAAAGAAGATGAATCCTACTATAATTAATATCAAGATGTTAACTAATTGTCATCTTAGCAACACTCCCCAATATTAATATAGAGGAAGAAAATATCATTCTAACTAATGTCGAGATGTTAACTAATTGTCATCTTAGCAACACTCCTCAACATCAGTATAGAGATGGTATTAAGGAAAGAACTATTAATTAATATTCAAGGAAAGAAGTTAAGAAAATAACTCACAACTTTAATAATCAACAAGCTTCAAGAGCAACACCAAGAATGAAAGTTTAGCTCCTCATTTGGAGGCTAAACATAGCTAGAAAAATATAAAGAAATGCTATTCTAAACTGAGCTAAAGAGAATGGAAGAAGGGATCATTTTTAGAGAAGAAAAAGAGTGCTATTTATAGGTGTTTTTCAACACCTTTGGCCGGGTACCCGACCGGGTATAGTACTTACCCGACCGGGTGCATGTCAAAATCAAATATCCTCCACGTTCTGGCGATCTTCGGCATGTTAAAGTGTCCGGGTCAAGTCAGACCCGACCGGGTGGGGTAGGGGACCCGACCGGGTGAGTGCAAAAATTGGATATTCTTCACGTTCGGGTGATCTTTGCATGCCGGGTTGTCCCCGCTCACTTCTCACCCGACCGGGTGAGGTAGTGGGCCCGACCGGGCCATGCACTTTCTTTGCATTTTCGTTTTTCACTTCTTACCCGACCGGGTCAAGTGTTATACCCGGTCGGGTATTTGCTCCTGGGCAGCCAAATCTTCTTTTTCTTCACTTCAAAGTCTTCCTTTCCAACACCACAAATCCTAACTAAACTTTACAACTTACAAATAAACACTAAAATACAATTACAACTGAAATCACATAAATGTTTACAAACTAAATAAAACGTCAAACAATTAACATAAATCAAACATAAAAACATGTAATTATGCACTACTAATAAGTGTGCATCAATGTGGTCTGGGGTTAAACCAAACATAACCCATTTAAGGCCCTTTGGTTGTACTGCATATGCTCGCATCTCTCAAGGTAAGTTAGAACCTAGGGCTATTAAGTGTGTTATGATTGGTTATCCAGAAGTCGTGAAAGGTTATAAACTCCTTGTAATTCAACCTGGAGGTTATAAATGTATTGTCTCTAGAGATGTTGTTTTTAATGAAGTTGAATTTCATTTTAAAAATGTTAATGCTTCATCTAGTGGTATGACAGGTGACTCTGATGGTAAATTTTTGGATACTATGAGCATTGAGTATCTATCTGAAGTTGAACCCGATATTGGAGGACTTCATGAAGGTAATGATGATCATTCTTTGTCAGAATCTGACCAAGATGATTCATCAGAAGGTAATGCACAGTTAAATATTGATTCCAATCAGCAAGGTAGTACCTTACCCTTACTTGAAAATTTGAGTAATTTGCATGATATACCTGTTTTGTCTGATGTAAATGCTAATACTGATGAAATTGATCCTAATGGAAGTGCCTCTAATGAAAGTGAAGAACCAAACTTAGCTGATTATCAACTTGTTAGAGACAGAGAACCTAGAAATATTGTCCCTAACAGGAAATATATTTCTAACCTAGCTGAGTTTATCTTTATAGCTTCTGAAATTGTTAAAAACAATATTCCTGAAACTTTTGAGCAAGCTATTAAGAGTTCTAAGTCAAATGAATGGGTTAAAGCAATGCAAGAAGAATTGCAATCTACGTTTGTTAATCAAACTTGGACTCTGGTCCCTAAACCCATAGGTGCTAAGGTCATTGATTGTAGATGGATTTATAGGATAAAAGATAGTCTTGATCCCACTGATCCCCCTATGTTTAAAGCTAGACTTGTTGCTAAGGGTTTTAAACAAAAGAAAGGGATTGATTACCAAGATATTTTTGCTCCTATAATCAAATTCAAAACCTTGAGACTTTTGCTTGGTATGACTGCTGTGTTTGACGGGGAATTAGAACAAATGGATGTTAAGACTACTTTCTTACATGGAGATATAAATGAAACTTATTACATGTCTCAACCTCCCGGATATGAGAGTAAAAAGAATCCTGATCATGTTTGCTTGTTAAGAAAATCAATCTATGGTTTAAAACAGACTCCAGATAATGGAACTTGAAATTTGATGCTTGCATGAGTGAACTTGGTTACATTAAAAGCAAATATGATACTTGTTTGTATTTCAAGCATGTTGGTACTGATAATGTTGTGTACATTCTGTTATATGTTGATGATATCCTCATTATTGGTCTGTGCAAAATGTTGATTGATAGTGTGAAAGATGATTTAAAAACTCATTTTGACATGAAAGATATAGGACCTGCTAAAAGAATTTTGGGGATTGACATAAACAGAAATAGACCTGAAAAGTGCATGTTCTTATCTCAAAGCAATTATTTGTCAAAAATTTTGGATATGTTTAACATGCATGGTTCTAAATGAACTTCTATACCCTTAGGAGGGCATTTGGATCTTCATAGGGATCCTTATCCTATTTCTTTGGAGGAATTTAAGAAAATGGATAAAATCCCTTAGAGAGAATTCCTTAAACAGGAGTAAAAAAGTTTTGAAATTCCAAAATAGGAGTATCATGTTTTTTATTCCTTGAATAGGAGTAAATTTCAGCCAAGTTTGGCATTACTAGGCTTTAAAATATGGCATTTTTTTTCAAACTTGGCAGATTACTCCTATTTAGGTAATATACAAAAAAAAATCCAATTATCTCAAATTGAAAATCCAATTAATTTTTATTTTTTAATTGAATATCTCAAATTAAAATTTTCATAAATTCTTTAATTATTTGAGAAAGAAGTAATATATCCTAAAGGAACGAGTAATGCACGAGTTAAATAAGTACATCTCAGAACTTAAAATCTATATTGTCCTATATGTTAAAGATATTTAAACGAGAACTTATAGCAAATGAGCATTGTAGCCCATTGGTTCTTCCACTACTATCAAGTACATGAGAGGTCATCTGTTCAACTCCCACTAGTGACATATTTTTATATTAAGTAAATACACACACAAATCAATGACATGGAATGACTAGCAATTATGTTGCATCCGTGACGTGGCAGGTTGGATGACGTGGCAAAAAAATACCCTAGTTTAGGAAATAAGTTTAAAAATACCCTACTTTGGAAAATAAGTTTTGGAACTACCCTACTTTGGGAAAAAACTCAAGTATATTTCCTTCATCCATTTTTAGTTGCAACTGTCAACATTTCACGTTTGGCAACGCACAACTTTGACCGTCATTATATTTAATTCTAAATTAGTAAAAATAAAATAAAAATTAGATTATAAAACTTAGTAATGAGACGAATTTAACAACATTTTTCAAACAAAAAAATTCAAATATAATAAATAAAATATAGTCAAAGTAAAGTACATGAATAATGCATATATTCCATGTTGCAATTAATGAGATACGAATGATAGTATTTCTTATATGGATTATATGATAACAGGCAAGTTACCAAATGACGAATAGCGCATGTAAAAATCTAGTCTCTTCATAAATATAAATATGATTGTATTACATAAACAACATTTACGTAGACTTACCGTACACCAAAATTCACAAGATTTATGCATAGTACTATATTATTGTTGTTTTTTGTTAGTTTAAATTCAATGTCTAATGTCTAGTTGGTGAAACCGTGAAAGTAGTGTCGTGATTATTCATCCATATTGGAGCACTTGACGTAAATTGGATCAGAATTGTATTTCAAGGCATACACCATGACTCTTCCGCCAAGGTGACTTTGTTAGAGACAACAAATTTAACTACTAAAAATCTAAAATGACACTCTACATCTATCCAAAACACTTAGAATCTGACAAGTGAAAGGTGTTTACAGAACTCTTCTGATGTGTGAATAAACCCTCTTCTTAAGACCACACCAAACAATACTAGTACTAGGTTAAAACTGATGATTGAAAATTTGGAACAGCCAATATTGTAACAAAAAAACGAAATAGCCAATATACTTCTCAAGCAAAAAGATGTCTAGTTGCTGCCCACTTCGACTTCAAGCTCAGCTCCACCTTATTGTTACCCCGGCGGCCTACCCCTACCTCCTTTGCTTCCACTTTCCGAGCCTGCACCGTAGCAACACGACACACTATCTCTGTCTGCATTGACAGTGCTTCTCTTTTCTCGTTGAGCTTTCGGCGGTTGCTTTGAATTGCCTCAAGCTGAGCTTCCAATTCTTTTTCTCTCTTGTTTAGCTCCTCCATTTCAGTCTTTATACCCTCCTCCGTTTCCACTAAATCTTGAAGCAAGCTTTTGGTTTTCTCAAAAGTAGACCAAGGATTCTCATCAGCGTCCTTAACTTGAACACAGTCTCTCCATTCCTGCACTACTTGTGGAAAAGAGGCTTTCAAGTTTACAATTTCATTGGATTGTACGCCACTATGAAGAAACTGATTGCCAATCAGTACGCACAAGGACTCCGCTATTGCAGTTTCATTCCTGAGATCAGCTAACTCATCCAAAGGGTATGCTATCAGAATGTCAAGGATTTCTAATAGAGAAGTTGCATGCCGTTTAAGCAAAGGCATTTCACAGCTTAGAGATTTAGATGATGGGGTGGATGGTTTCTGGGATTGTAGTGACACAAGAAAAGACTGAGCCTGGACGTACACAGATTCCACGTGATCAAAATCAGCAACAGAGGAATATTAAGCCTGATCAAATACACAAAGCACCAAAAACATCATTTTTAAAAGGAAAATAATCAAGAAAATCGCATATATATACTTCAGCTTCAATCTAGCAAGAACATACATCATTGTTGCAAGCTGAAGAAGCATCGGACACAACAGAAAGTTCAGTTTCGATCAGGCACGTGTCGTCAACAAGATACCCTTCACTTTTATTGTGAAGATTACTGAGCGAGATAAATGAAGAGTAGCCCCAACTAGTGGCTCCAGACTCATATTTATATTTTTCATCTGTATGATATAATGCCCAAAAGTAGATTAAAGCGAAAATCTCTATATAATTGAGGCCGGGGTACGTAAAAATGTAAACTAGTGCTATCATGGGCGGAGTAATGATAGCACTAAAAAGGTAAAAATAGTTTGTAAAAAAATAAAAAGGTAAAAATAAAGAGTGTGGGTATAAAAATATTGTATCTTAGTAAAAAAAACTTATAAAAAGAGAAAAGAGTGGCAAGTAATAAAAAAACCATCTAAAAAAGAAATACTAGAATTCTAGAAAGTTTTTAGAGAACAGAGACTACTCCATTGATTGCTACTTACTTCCTCTGTTCTGATTTAAATGCAACACTTATTGGAACTTAATATTATTAACATTTGTTACTTGTATTTATCTTATAGCATGTACATATAATTTCATACACACACTCGGTGGTAGTTACTGGGAAGACTTTAAGACCTTAGTTGTTAGCCTATTTAACCCATGTACGCATAGCATTTGTGATATAGGGAGTATTAAATAATACGTAGTACTCTTTTCAATATAATTCTTCAACACTTCGGCTGACACGAGAATAAAGAAACTTTAATAAAGTGTTGTTTCTTCACTTTACCCTCAATGACACATGGCTATTACTACTTTGTTCCTGCAATTTCTCATGTTAGAATATTATTTTAGGACGTTATGAAGATAATTGTGTAAGTAGAAAAAGCTTTTAGCTAACTAGAAGAGAGGATGGAAGAAGAGAGAACTTGTATTTTATTGCTTGAAGATTTCTTAGCTTGATGCTTGATTACAAATGAGCACAACTACACCTATTTATACTACTCACATCCACAATAAATGGTGGAGAGTTCTCTAGAATTCTCCTTATCTAGAATACTCTATTATTAATTATTCTCTAGAATGACTCTAGAAGTCTCACACTCTAGAAACTTTCTAGAACATTTCTCTCTATAACACTCCTAATTATTTTGGGCTTTGCCCATTACAACAAACATCAATTATTAACTTAGCCCAAAATCAAGTTTACATTCTAACATCCCCCCCTTAAACTTGATTTCCAACTCCGAGCATTCTTCTCAATCGCTTGAAGTCTTCATGCTTGAGAGGTTTTGTAAGAATATCCGCAACTTGATCTTGCGACCTCACATACTTCACTTGGACCTCCTTATTCTCGACACATTCACGAATAAAATGGTAGCGAGTATCAATATGTTTAGTTCGGTCATGATAGACGGGATTTTTTGCAAGTGCAATGGCCGACTTGTTATCAACATAAATCTCTGTTGCATCTTCTTGCAGCATGTGAATTTCCTTCAATAATCTTCGAAGCCAAATGATGTGACATACACATGACGTAGCGGCAACATATTCAGCTTCACAAGTCGAAAGTGTCACAATGGGTTGCTTCTTTGAAGACCATGTGAAAGGCATATCCCCCATGTAAAGTACAAACCCGGTTGTACTCTTACGGTCATCAATATCTCCGCCCCAATCGCTATCACTATGATCAAACAACTTATATTCTTTAGAAGATGAGTAAGTCAATCCAAAGCTAATCGTACCTTTTAGGTAGCGTAGAATCCTTTTGGCGGCCTTCATATGGATAGATGTTGGAGCTTCCATATAGCGGCTAATAAGTCCCACTCCAAAAAGAATATCGGGCCTCGTACATGTTAAGTAGCGCAAGCTCCCAACCAAACTTTTGAACATAGTCGGATCTACTTTATCTCCTTCATCAAACTTGGAGAATTTTGTCCCATAATCGACTGGTGTGTCAATCAGCTTGCACCCATCCATCTTAAATTTCTTAAGAATTTTTCTTGCATAACCTTCTTGGGAAATAGATATTCCTCTATCACTTTGATTGACTTCAATTCCGAGGTAGTATGACATAAGTCCCATATCCGTCATCTCAAATTCACGACTCATTTCTTTCTTGAAAGCATCAAACACACTTGGATTGTTACCCGTGAATATCAAATCATACACATATAAGCACACAATCAAAATATCCCCATCTTCATTTGTTTTTACATAAAGGGCATATTCATAAGGGCACCTTAGAAAACCATTTTCTTGGAAGTACTTGTCTATTCTAGTATTCCAAGCTGTTGGGGCTTGTTTTAATCCATAAAGTGCCTTCTTTAATTTTAAAACTTTATTTTCTTGCCCTTTAATTATATAACCTGGGGGTTGTTCCAAATAGACTTCTTCTTCCAAATAACCATTTAAGAAAGCCGATTTTACGTCCATTTGGTACAATCTCCAATTATTTTGAGCCGCAATTGAAATAAGTAATCTTATAGTTTCTAAGCAGACAACGGGAGCAAATACCTCATCATAGTCAATACCGGCCCTTTGCTTGTACCCTTTTACCACCAACCTTGCCTTGTATCTTTCAATTTCTCCTTTGGCATCTTTCTTTGCTTTGTATACCCATTTAGTGCTGATAGCCTTGTGCCCCTTTGGTAGCGTAGCTAACTCCCAAGTATCATTCTTCATGATTGACTTCATCTCCTCGTCCATAGCATTTTTCCACTTCTTGTCTTCTAGCGCCTCTTGAACACCTATTGGTTCACAATCATTAAGAAGACAAACAAAAGTTATTTCATCCAAATTTTGTGTTACCTCATATATCTCTTGTAAGCTTCTATAACGGGGAGTTCTTTCATTTGAGCCTTCATCGTTGGTTGGTGGACTTCCTTGGATGGATGGTGAATGAGGTGGAGTGTTTGGTTCTTGAGCCACTTGGTCATCATGGTCCTCTTGTTCTTCATTGTCTTCAAAGAGCGGGAAGAAGTTGTAATTCTCATCTTTTTGATCTGGCACATGAGCATATGCTATACTTCCACAAACTCGAAGGTGAGAAACATTTGGTTTCTTCTTCCGCCGTGCTTCTTGAGGTGTCTTGTTGTCAAGACTTTTAGTTGGACAACGATTTAAAATATACACAGCACAATCAACTGCTTCGGCCCAAAATTCTTTTGGCATATTCTTGATTTTTAGCATGCTTCTAGCCATCTCAAGAATAGTTCTATTTTTTCTTTCAACCACGCCATTTTGTTGTGATGAATATGGAACCGTTAAAGGACGGCGAATCCCATTATTTTCACAAAATTCATTAAATTCATTTGATGTAAATTCACCTCCTCTATCGGATCTCATGACTTGTATTTCATGCCGAACTTCCTTTTCTACAAGGGCCTTAAATTTTTTAAATGACCCAAAGACTTCCGACTTTTCTTTTAGAAAATAGACCCAAGTTTTTCTAGAATAATCATCAATGAAAAGAAGAAAATAATTATTCTTTCCATATGAACTTGGTTTAATGGGTCCACAAACATCGGCATGAATTAATTCCAAGGGCCTTTTAGCTCTAAAATTTGATTCTTTTGGAAAACCTTTTCTTGCATGTTTTCCTAAAAGACACCCCTCACACAATTGATTTGGATGATTTATCATTGGCATCCCATCAACCATTTTGGTTCTTGATAATAAATTTAAGCCACCAAAGTTCAAGTGCCCAAACCTCAAGTGCCATAACCAAGAATCATCTTTTAAACATGAATGTAAGCATTTTGCTTCATCATTTTGAATCTCCAATAAAAACATTCTATTTTTCGTCATTGGCACTTTGGTTATTAATCTTCCTTCACTTCTTAGAAAAAGATTATTATCTTTTAGATTGATGTCATAACCTTTTTCTAGAAGTTGCCCCAAACTCAAAATATTATTTGAGATTGGGCACATAATAAACATCGGAAATAAATTGGTGGCTACCATCCTTTAGACGGATTAAGATGTTACCTCTTCCTTCAACCGATACCTTTGACTCATCTTCAAATGTGACTTTTCCGTTGGCTTGCTTAATTTCCGCGAACATGGTTTTGTCGCCGGTCATGTGGTTGCTAGCCCCGGTATCTAACACCCACATACTCTTTCTTTCTTTTTCTTTAAGATCATGTGCCATCAATAAGGTAAGATCAACTTCATCCTTGATGGGGTTAAATTTTTCCTCCACTTCACAATAATTAGATTTGCAATTGGAAGCGTAATGACCAAATTTGTCACAATTATAGCATTTAACTTGTGATTTCTCATACCTTTGGTAACCGCCTCTTCCATGACCTCTTGTCGGCTTGAGGTGTTATTTTTTCTCTTCTTCATGTTCTTGGCGATTTTCACCATGTCCTCTTCCTCGGCCTCGACCTCGTCCACGGCCCCTAGCTCGCCCTCTTTGACCATCACCTCTTTTGAGTGAGAGTTGTGTATAAAGTGCTTGCTCTAACGGATATTGCACTTTCTTCTTTTTCATTTTTTCTTCATGGACCACTAGTGATCCGTTGAGTTGGTCTATAGTCATCGAGTCTATATCATGTGATTCTTCAATAGCCACTACCACATGCTCAAAATTTGGAGTTAAAGAGCGAAGAATTTTTTCTACCACTCTTGTATCTTCCAAATTTTCTCCATTCCTCCTTAGTTCATCTACTACCTTCTCAACTCTATCAAAATAATCAGAAATAGACTCGGATTCCTTCATTTGAAGAGACTCAAACTCACCTCTAAGTGTTTGGAGACGAACGCGTTTTACCTTATCGACTCCACGATATGTATTTTGAAGAATCTCCCAAACTTGCTTCGAAGTAGTTGCATTTGCAACCTTCACAAGTTGATTGTCATTCAAACATTGATGAATGAGAGTCATTGCCTTTTGATCCTTCTCCCGAGCCTTCTCTAATGCGTCCTTTTGGAGTGCACTAAGAGTACTTTCATCCTCCGATTCAACGTAGCCATTCAGCACCAAATCTCACACCTTTTGTGAACCTCTAATATTGCCTTCATTCGGATGCACCAAGTACTATAGTTGTCTTTGGTTAGGCGAGGGAATTGAAAGGATTGCATCCCGTTAGCCATGGCTCTGATACCAATTTGTTGGAATATTAGAGGTAGAGGCTAAGTATTTTAGGACGTTATGAAGATAATTGTGTAAGTAGAAAAAGCTTTTAGCTAACTAGAAGAGAGGATGGAAGAAGAGAGAACTTGTATTTTATTGCTTGAAGATTTCTTAGCTTGATGCTTGATTACAAATGAACACAACTACACCTATTTATACTACTCACATCCACAATAAATGGTGGAGAGTTCTCTAGAATTCTCCTTATATAGAATACTGTATTATTAATTATTCTCTAGAATGACTCTAGAAGTCTCACACTCTAGAAACTTTCTAGAACATTTCTCTCTAGAACACTCCTAATTATTTTGGGCTTTGTCATTACAACAAACATCAATTATTAACTAAGCCCAAAATCAAATTTACATTCTACCATCTCATCCTAGGAATCCCAGGCTATTAGAATAGCGAGAGAAACAGCAAACTGTCAGGCTACTCTAGCTACGGCCTACGGCTGCTCCCTTAATCTCTTCCGGCCAAATAAGTAAAAAGTGTACAGTGAGTTAAATTTGCGCTACCTTTAATCCGATCCTGAAAGCAAGTTGCCGGAGCAAACAATTTTGCATCTTTATTGTTGACGGTTTGTCTCCGTATACTGCTTAAGATTAAAAGGCAATGAAAAACATACTGATAAAAGAAAATAGATGTGGAGTGGAATGAAATTGAAGAAAAAAACGATACTAGTTCTTTACATGGAAGAACAACAAAAAGAGTTGAGGGGTCTCGTAGAATATAGCCATAATAGAAAAGTGGAAGAAGATGAGAGAGATGAGAAGTAAATGGGGAACATGGTTATGACTTATGAGGAAAAAATAGAGAGAATTCCTAAATAGGAGTAAAAAAGTTTTGAAATTTTAAAATAGGACTATCATGTTTTTTATTTTTTGAACGAGAGTAAATTTCCGCCAAGTTTGACATTACTAGGCTATAAAACATGACATTTTTTTTCAAACTTGACAGATTACTCCTATTCAAGAAATAAAAAACATGATACTCCTATTTTGGAGATTCAAAACGTTTTTGCTCCTATTTAGAGCAATTTTTAAAAAAAATACTACATTCGTCCCTCTAAGTTTGGGACAAAAGGGTGTAATGTGGTTTTTAAGAAAAAGTAGATTTATGTGGTTAATATTGAATTGATAAAGTGTGAATAAAGTAAGAATGAATTCTAACCACTCAAATATTACCAAATATGGTATGAGACAAACTTAATGGAACAGATGAAAAAGGTAATACGAGACAAAGTTAGGGAGACTGAGGGAAGTAATTGTTATGACTCATGAGTGGGTGAGATTAATTTGGGTAGAGAGGGATTGATTGTGGGGTTGTGAGTAGGAAGGGGTATGGTAGTCATTGTGCTTATATTTCCTTACCAAAAAATAGTATGTTGCAATTATTTTGTAACTTCTAAAAAAAGAAAATGTTGCATTTACTCCCTTCGTCCCGCTAACAATGGCACAAGAGAGAGTGACACAGAAATTAATAAAAAGTGGTTTGTGTAGTTGATAATGAGTTGATAAAGTAAGAATAAAGTAAGAATGATTTAGAGACACATAGGGATGGCAACGGGGTGGTTCGGGGTCGGGTATACCATTACCCGTACCCGCCCCATTTGATAATATTTTTCCCCGAAACCGCCCCGTTACCCGTCGGGTATTTTTTACCCGCGAGTAACGGTTTTCCCCGCGGGTAACGATTTCCCCGTGGGTAACCGTTGTATTAAAAGGTAATTTTTTTCTTCAAAATTAGTATAAATCTTAAAACAATGATTAACTACTTATAATTGACCACCTAAATTAAAAAATAAAATAAAAATAAATAGCACCACTTGTTTTATGAAAAGATAATTTTTTTCTTCAAAATTAGTATAAATCCTAAAATGATGATTAACTACTTATAAATTAAAAATATCAAAATTAAATAGCACCACAGATAAAGTTTTTTAAAACATCACAAAAAATTACAATCTTTTGAACCTAATATTCACAAATTATATATGTACTCTAGATTCAAAATTATGAATCTCTTACCACATCAACATCAAAAGATTAAGTTTTGTGTCGATAGTAAAATCTAAATATGAATCACAAAAACATTTAACTTCCAAAAATTCAATAATCATACCCCACCAGCATTCAATATCTAAATATAAGAACGGTAATGTATAAAAGTAACATAATGAAAATGGGAAGTTTTTTTCCTGAAATATTACTAATAAAAAATATATGCACATAAATGTGACTATAAGTTATCATGGGTAAGTTTTATAGTCACTACGATATAACACTTGATAAAATTATAAACACTAAAGTTACTAGAGTCGCATTTTTGTCCACAACTTTTATTTTGATTATAGATTTGGAATTATTTCTAAAAAATGTACTTCTAATACTATGATTTAGGTATTCTTGAAGTTACTATTTTAGAAACCTCATAATTTCATTTTAAAACTTGATATAAATTAGAGCAACCTATCAAAATTAATCTAATCAACCAATACACTTCTACAAAATTATTAGCAATTACATAAATTAAAGCAATCTAGAGTAATGGTTCCCAATATTTGGACTTTAAACTCATATGTGAGCTTTATGAAAGTTATTAGGTGAAAAATTAAGAGAGTCACAATGTGAAAATTGTGTATAGAAAATCATGAAACTCAAATAATCAATATGTGAAGAAAATAAATCTTGTAGAAGTTAACAAAGGAAGGATGATGAATGAAATTGAAAATTAAAAATCTAAAATAGTGAATTTTGAGCACCAACTCCTCAGAATTGCAAAGGATAGCCGATTAAATGAATATTTTTTCAAAAATAGAGGGAATAAGTGTCATATACTAATGTACTACTATTCATATATACTTAATATATTATATAATAAATACATAATCTATTAAAATATGAAAGTTAATTGTGCGGGTCGGGTAATGGTGCGGGTAACCGTATCCAAATTAAACAGGGCGGGTAACGGGGCGGGTAGGTATAAACCCATAACCGCCCCATTACCCGTTTACATAATTAAATCAGGTATTTCCTGCCCCGTACCTGTTACCCGGTCAAAGCGGTTTTCCCCATTTTGACCGGTTCGGTTCGGTGCAGGTATCCATCGGGTCGGGTTAAATTGTCATCCCTATCAGCCACACAAACTTTGCCAAATTTGGTATGGGACAATCTTAATGGGACGGACCGATAAGGTAAAACGGGACAATCATAACTGGACGGAGGTAGTACTAAAGAATGGGTAAGTATTTGGGTTATAACATGAGTATCATGTGTGTACTATAGATGCATGCATCACAATGATTTGACAACAAGTCAATAACCTTAACGTTGAGGTGAATTTTTAGAATAGGAAAAATTGATGGTAATAATCCCAACTATTGACGGTTCGCTTATAATAATCTCAACTATCGATTATCTTAGAATAATCCCAACTTTAGTGACATTCCGCCAATAATGGTCCGACATGACCGGCTATAAGTAAATTCCTATAATTTCTAAACTGGATGAGAAGAGATATAACAAGTAATCCCTATAAATAATTCAACTTTTAATTTTTACGCTTTAATTCTATTTAAAATTCAGTTGTCATAACAGGTCATATCTGGTCATGGACCATTATTGGTGGAAGGTCACTAAAGTTGGGATTATTCAGAGATAATCGATAATTGGGATTATTATAAGCGGAGCGTCAATAGTTGGGATTATTACAATCAATTTTTCCTTAAAAATATTGTAAAGGGGCAAAAAATTCACTAGAGGTAGAAATAGTAAATTTGGGGTACATTAAAATATGTTGGAGCGAACATTAGACGACGTATAAATAATTTTAAGGGAAAAATAATAAAAATACCCCCAACTTTGAAGGGGTGTGAGGTAAACACCCTAAACTTGTACTACCTCCGTCCCATAATTTACTTCCAAAATAAAGTGGCACGCGGATTAAGAAAGTGAGAATTGTGTGGTGAAGAGTTGTGAAGAGGAGAGAGAAATGCTGTGAAACACAAATTCTTTTCCAAAAAAGCAAAGGGAAGTTCTTTTTGGGACGGACGAAAAAGGAAAGTTGGAAGTATTTTCAGGGACGGAGGGAGTATAAGTAATTTAAATACCCCAAACTTTATATAAAAAGTTATTTTTGCACTATTTTCATGTATTATTTCTTTCAAAAATGTAAATTTGTGGGGGTTAATTGTATAATTTAAAATAGCAAATTGAAAGTGTTGCAATTATATAGATTGGGGGTAACATTATTTATTTCGCAATGGAAATTTAGAATGTTAATTGTGTCTTCATGAATTCTAAAATATTTTAAATTATGCAATAAACACCATAAATTTACATTTTTGAATGAAATAATACTTGACTATGGTGCTAAAGTAACTTTTTATATGACATTTGGGGTATTTAAATTACATATGAAAGTTTGGGGTGTTCACTCACACCCCTTCAAAGTTTAGGGTATTTTAATTATTTTTCCCTAGTTTTAATTTACAGAAGCGTGTAAGTGTTCTAATTCATCATGTAAAATGTTCCTCGTATTGTGTGAAAGCCTATTTAACAAAACATTTAAAGAAGAAAAAAGACAATACATAAATCTAAAACAATGACGCGAGATAATGAAACAATGTGTTAAAATGAAGAATAAATAATCCAAAAAAAAGTATTTATAATAGTTATTATTTTTAAAATTATTGAGAGTATACTAGAAAATATTAAAAATAAGAAGATATGAATGTTGTAGTTGAAAAATGAAAGTGAGAATATATGAATGTTATGGAAGTTAAGGTATGCTATATTATACTCTTCTAAATGGTCTAATAGGCAATTGTACATGTCATATTTGCTCAATTCAGCACGTAAACTTTAAAACGCCAATCCTAATAATCTTGTAAAACAAATATTACAATTCTAGAAAATGGTGGTAGGCGGCGGTATAGCGACCCGGGGGCAGCAGTGCTCCATCCCTATTAGGGTAAGCAGGGTATAAGGAAAATCTAAACTAGGACAAACACTTGCATCGACGAAGCTAGTAAACAAGAAAATGTACGTAGTAAAAAACACAATTTTGAGAGTGCGGAAATACCTAGTCCTTTCTTGATGGTTTTGTTGGTGTCTACCTGGTTAATAAGAGCCAGGCTGAATTTTGTTGTTATACTCCACCCATTGGGTAAGCTTGACGCGTCAGTCAGATTTAGGTATAGAGACAAATGATCTGTACGGTTTCCTTTTGGATAAAGAGACAACATCCTGCACACATACAAAAAATCAATCTCAACACATAATCTACTCGCACAATATGATGTTTTTCTCTTGCTAAAGGCATGTACCATTTGTACTCATTCACGATAAAGATCACTGAGTAAATCTTTTTAACGTCAATTTGAGAAAAATGTTCAATCCTCCATGTAAATTTTGACATTATATATTGCTTGGTTTTTGCTTCAATTCGTCGCTTAAGCCTTAATATAATGCAATCCGGGAAGATCAAGTGAAGAAGTTATGGCGATATATACAAGTCATTTATTTTTAAAAAGGTCTCTACTTATTGTAGAAGGCTCAAGGTCTCTACTTATTTTGCTTGGTTCGTACCATTGTTTGAGTTTAATGGAATGTTCACCTGGACTTTAGGACTTCACGTAAGGAGGAAAAAATAGAATCGATGGAAACTGACCCAGGGGAGGCGGGAGGCCCCGAAGATAATACTCCCTCCCTGTTATTGTCTCATTTTCCAATTTACTTCATCAACACAAATCACTCTTAATCACTTATTTTATTTATCAATTTTTTATTAAATTTGATTTTGGTTTTGCG